GAGATTACGTGTTGCCACTGTTACATCTCAAAGGAACTAAAATTAAAGTTTAGATCTTTTCTCATTTAATATACAATAATTTGTTGAGATTAAAAATGGTTAAGATTAAACATATATGATATATCTTACAAGTTTTAAGTGTTGTATTAATTTCAAAAATATTTATTTATTTTTTAGGATAGAGATTAATCTAAACTCGTAGGGATCCGTAAGAGATGGGTACAGAGATAAAAAAATTCCTTGAAACATATAGTAGACCCCACCCCACCCTTACTCATAATATTTAATTTTAGCTCGTCTAATATATACACTTTGTAAATATTATTGCTTGAATTTAACGCATGTAAAATAATAATAATAATAATAATAATAATAATAAAAAATAAATAAATAAAAGATGCGTACAATCACATTCAATACACGTGACATTAAAATGCATAAAACCAAAATTAGCTCCCCAATATTTATCAAAATGATCATTTTATACTCTATTCTATTTTTTGGAGTATTTTCGTCCCAACGTTTTATTTTCAGGGAAAAATATCCATAATATTTGACAGAATAATCACTTTGTCCCTTATTCTTTTTTAGGGGGCATTTTAGCCCTCAATGTTTCATTTTAGGTTATAAAAGGCTCATATTTAGAGCGTTAATCGTATGTTAACTAATGATTTTCATCTATAGAGGGAGCTTTTTGCCTCAAAAGTAAAATGTTGGAGGGGCCAAAATGACCATTTTACTAAATGTTGGGGGCCATTTTCGATATTATTCCCATTAAAAACTAGCAAAGATGAAGGACCAAACTATGTCAATTAAAAATAGAAAGATCAAATCTCATATTTTAGTCATAATAAAAAAAACTGGATGTCCCTTGTTCCCATATGTAATGGGGTAAGGGGGAGGTAAGATAGTAGACTGCCCCCAACACTAGGTTGAGAGCATCTTCCGTAGGAGACCTCCAAATTATGAAATGCCCTCCATGAGACTCGATCCCACGACCTCAAGATTAAGAACCTTGTGTTTTACCAACTGAGCTGGATGGTCATTTTATATTTTAGTCATAATAAAGGGACTAAAACATGTATTAAAAAAGGACTAAAACAAAAGTTAGACCTTTATGTGTGGAGGAGGGTACAAGACAGGATGTAAGAAATGATTAACAAATGCTGGCGTGGTGTAGTCAATGTAAGCAATGATCGCATGCTTTGAAATCAAATTTTAATTCTTCCATTACTCAATGTTTAATAAATTAATCAAATGTTAATTTTTATTTTCAATTTTGACACACTTTGAAGTCCTAGATTCTTCAATATTCAAATTTAGTACCAAATTTAATTTTCTATATTTAATTTTTTATCAAATTAATCTTATTTAAAAAAAATAAAAATGTTGATGAAAATATTAAATATTTAACAATTTTGCATTTTAATTACATTGTCAAAATTTAAGTAAATATTATAGAAAATATTATTTAAATGGATGGAAGTATTAATTTATATACAATACTTTAAATTTTAGGGATTAATTTTAAATATCAGTCATAGTTTATAAACCTATTGGACAATTAATGCATTTTACTCTTTTTTTTAAATTGTATTGAATAAAATTCTAAAATTATTATTTATTAATTTATACTGTGACCTGAAAAATATATATCATTCATTTGATTATGGCCAGATCCGATATAAAATAAATATTTAATTAAAAATTATAATTTTTTAAAGAAATTATATTATTATCTCAATTTCAGATCGGTCAAAGCTTTTCCACCATTCACCCTCTATCCAATCCGACTCGACCTTACTCCCTTAAAAAATTCGAGCTAACTCGACGCATATTCAATTTTTTTATATAAAAAAATCAGATCCTATCAAATCAGCTTGGATAAAAACCGTGGGTTTAGGTTAAATTTCTCCCTCTATGCATATTGCTGGGGGAAATCATGAATCTGGCAGTTAAAATTCGCCAAATTCCCTCTATATATGGGAGGAAAAATATGGAGGACTAAATGAGATATTTTTTACTTTAGAAGTTCCAAAGAAACAATGAATGCTGTGGAAAATCGTCGCCGTCGCCGTCGCCGTCGAGATCATCGTCGACGTTATCGTAAACCGGCGGTGGATAGAATTGGTCTCCGAGGCCCGGAAAAAAGCCATAGTCGGACATCCCTTGGTTGGTATCCAACATGCTCAAAAACGACGACCAATCCTCCACCGTTTCATTGCTCTCCGCCACTTGTATTCCCGCACGACCCTGATCTGAAACCGACACCGACACTGAAACCGAAGGAGACGACGTGTACTGTTCTGTTTTCATTCCGGCATTGTTGTTGTTATCGAAGGAGGATTTGTTGGCGAAACTAGACGCGAAGGCTTGGATCTCGGGCGGGCTGAGCGACCGTTCTCCCGCTATATCCGGAGGGTTGTCGGGGAAGTTGAACTTCACCCCATCGCTACCGCGCAGACAATACTGCGCGGCGTCGAACGCCCGAGCGGCGAGTCGTAAGATCCCAGCCAAATCCGCTCGCGACTGTTGGGCAGTCGGATTTCGGACACCCACTTCCCCCATTTCCGCTTCCGTACGCCCCTGTACTTGGAAGAACCACCGCTCGGTTCGCCGCGAGCGGGGGATTCCGGCTGTGGCTTCACCATGAATGATCGTTACCGGGAAAATGGTTTTTTTTGTGGAATATCTGAAAGAGATGTGGATAATGAAAATGGCGGCTGTCTGAAAGTTGTATATATAGGTGTCGGGGACGTAGGCTTAGTGCTTTTTGTTTGAAGGGATCTAAGCGTGTTGAAGAGGAGTAATGAGAGCGGACACGTGGCAGTCTTTTGGTGGGCCATGGCAGTTTAAAAACGCGGTAGAGACCGTACGTGAAAACCACGTGCATTTATTATTTGGCTGTTTTCGCCTTCTAAAATGTCAAATTTGAATTAAAAATGAGTTTTAATAACAATAATATTTTTTAGAAGTAGATGCATGATATATTTATTTTTCAGAAACAGCAATGACGTGTTAAATACAGATTGAATAAATACAATCATAATTTTTATAAGTAAATTATAACAATGATCTACTAGTAATAGTAAGTAAAAATGTAAAAGGTTAAGGCAACGACGTACATAAACAAATCACTCCAATGACCCCGAGCACCAATATGGAGGAGAAAAATTTGAAGAAGATTCAAAACGGACAAATGAAAAAGCGATCTCCCCTTAACAGTAATCCCATTCGACATAGTTATTCGATAACCAATGGATCGTCATTGACAAACGAACAAAGAAACCAGACATCAGAAAAACAACCAACCATGAAAAATTTGATCAAATTTGATCTAGAACCTTAAATGACTATTATATCACAATCATGTGTTAATATCTAGCTTAAACAACCATCAAAATTTTTAACGGAAAAGGTAGGCATGTAAACAAACATAATGTTCAACGAATAGTTCATGAAACGTTCGTCGGAAAGTTCGTTTATGTTCGTTTAGTTAAATAAACGAGCACGAACAAAGGGATCGTTCTTTCATTTATATTTATGAACATTTGATAATTTGTTTGTTTATGTTCGATAATCTATTCGTTTATGTTCGTTTACATTTAATAGTCCATTAGTTTATGTTCATTCGTTTAATTAAATTTATATTTATGACCGTTTATTATATTCTTTTAAGATTTTTAATTTGGTTGAAAATAAAGTTATATTTTATGTTCGTTTATTATTTAAACAAACGAATTATTCCTTAATGAATGAACACAAACAAAAATTTTTGTTCGTTTATTCGGCTAAAGTTAAACGAACGAACGAACGAACATGAATATATCCTCGTTCGTGTTTGTTCGGTTCGTTTACATGCCTAGGAAAAGGACGAATTTGGAACATAATGAATAGTCGGGAGATAATTTTATAATTTTTAATAGACGAAAGACTTAATAAAGTAACATGCTATAATCGGAGGATCATTTTGTAACTTTCAATAATCAAGGGACTTAATAAAGAAGTATCCTACAGTCAAGCACCAGAAATGCCAAGAGTCTAATGAAATTTGTTTGATAAAAATCATAATATTATGAATGCAACAAATTAGATTAAAAAATCGTTTTTATGTTAAATTTTTATAATATTTAATTTATATTTATTAATAAAAAAAAATCTTAAAAATTTTATATCCGAGTCTAATGAAGCGTGTCTCCTTTGTTTTCATTCAGAAAGGTAATGGAAGTAGTGTACATATGTCGATGATTCTAGAATTACAGCTACATGTCTCCATCTTTATTGTATGTTTTTAATTTATAATAGGTTTATCGTTAAAATAAGTGTTTAAATTATACTCAAAGTTAATTTTTGGTGTTTAAAATTTTTTTCCGTTAAAAATAGGTATATATTATTTTCTACGTTATACTTGGGTGTTTATTTTTAAAAAATTATTAAATAACACATATCACGTATAGATTAAAAAAATTAAAATTTAAAATATATATAAAAAATATAAACATGACACATGTCACTTAACGAGTTTTTAATAATAGACGTCTAAAAATGTGACTCACTAATCCCAATCGTGTCGGATTTATAAATATTCGTGAGGGTGAGTCCACATTGATCAGTAACACAAAATTTTTGAAAGGACGAACAAAATTAAAATTTCAGGATGAGCATTATCAATGAAATACGAAATTAATTAAAGAAAATTCGAATTTTAAAATAAACACGTGCTCCCCTGAAGTATATGTAGCTCCGACACTGGGTCCCAATCTCAATGGTGCACCTAATTTTTAGGTACAATTAGGACCAATGTGATGATGAACCTAAATCTCATGATGATTTTTGAAAGCCTAAAGTTAGTTGACTAATCTGAAAAGGAATATATTTATTTCATTTCAAATGGTAGAAATTTAATCAATTCAGATCAAATATCGTAAAAATTTATTATAAAGGGAATAAATTTATTTTATTTTATTCATAACGTAAAGATTCCAATGCTGAATAAGAAAGATTAATGTGAAATATCAATGAATATATCACAATTCCAATAAGATCATCAATCATCTAGACATACATGTATTCGCCGCCACGAACCGCATTCGCAGCTCCTTTCCTCTCTTCTTCGGCCTCCTTCTCCCGCTCCTTCCGGCTCTCATACTCATGATCATCCGTCTGCAGCTCGTATCTGCAAATCGGGCAAGAATTGTGCTCGTCCTGCTCACGGAAACAGTTCGATTAACCCTGCATCAACACTAAACAAAAAGAAACTCATGGAACATAAACTTACCAGCCATGGCTTTAGGCAAGGAGGATGGAATGTGTGCTTGCAAGGCAATTCTTGCATCTTGTCGCCTATAACAAGGTTCTCCTTGCAGATTGCACACTCCGCATTGGACCCGAGCTTTGCCAGAATTTCTTCCGAGAGAGTAATTACCGGCAGCTTCGCGACAACTTCTTTACTAGCTGGCGGGACTTTCCGGACACCGGCTTCATTGTCCAATATCTGGAATATCGAAGGCCAAATCGTTCATATGCAACGCAAGTGCCAACATACAATCTAGTATCATGAACAGACAGATTCGAGAAGCATATTTCAAAGATACCTCTGGTATAACCGTATCGAGGTGATTAATAAGCTGCTCGAGCACATTGGCAGCGTTTTCTACCGTGACAACATTCGAGCCCGATCCCTCGGATGAATCGGCGGTTGCAGCGGAAGCAAAGGCAGTCATGAGATTCGATTGGACCAACCATTGGGGCTGTGGTGGTTCAGGATCCACAGTAAGATGCCCTTCAAAAAGATAACCTTTGGGGCAACAAAACAGAGATCAGTAACCTTCAATGCATAAAAAAAAATATTTGTCATAATACGCCATAGATGCATGTACTCCACTTAGGTTCAAATTTAGTCCCTATACTTCAATATTCGTTAAAATATAAACCCTCCAACATTTCTGTCTGCTCAAAAATTACAAAGTATTTATTAGAAAAATGATAAACTACATTTAATATCTAAATGAAGATACGAAAAAAAAGTAAACTACGCATTTAATATCTAAATGATTAGTTTTAGTCTGTTTTAATACTTAAACTTTTAATTTTTTTCAAAACCATACCTAACGTTTAGTTTTCATTTCATTTTAGTATCCGCATTAAAAACTTAACGCGTTTAGTACCTAAACTATCAGTTTTGATCCGTTTTAATACCTAAACTTTCATTTTTTTCAAATCTTAACGTTAAATTTGAAACGGGTACTAAATGAAACAAAAACAAAAGTTTTTAAAGGCAAAATACTAAAATGAAACAAATACTAAACTTTAAGTGTGAATTTTAAAAGAAATTGAAAGTTTAGGTACAAAAATAGACTAAAACTGATAGTTTAAGTATTAATTTACCCAAAAACTTTAAACTATACCAGAATTTGAAATTTCTAGTTTGCAATGTCAACAATTACACTAACATTTTAAACCTGAATTATAAGTACAAGGACTAAATATCTAACTTAGCTATAGTAAAGGGACCTACGACATAATAAACCAATTACTTCAGAGAAGGGGGAAAACTAAGGGATTTTCCCCCCTGAAACAAACCTCTGTTTTGGGAAGACTCAGCTAACGGGGCGGGGTTCTCGATTTCATTCAAGTGTTCCTTAGCCTGAGAAATGCAATTCTTCAAATGGTCCTTTTCAGCAGGATCAGAGACAAGGGATTCTAATCGCTCGAAAAGACGTAAACCGGCAAGCCAGAAGCCGGGAGCGGTGTATCTCGTTTTCAAAATGGTTGCGACTCGACAAACAACCGAATAAAACTGAAAATCAAGCCGACGAGTGTTGAAAATCTGATTATTTTTGTCAGTTCTGATTCGTAAAACCGAAAGAGAAATTAAGAAATCAATACCGATTTGCGAAGAGCGGGAGAAGCGGATGGGTAATGGAGTTTGAGAAGTGAATCGATGGCGGAAACGGACTCCTCGAATCTCTGTTTCTTCCCGAGCTGTTTCTGCAATTCCTCTAATTGCTGCTTCAAGCTTGAAGATTCCATTCTTTCTGAACCGTAATTAGATTATTGAACACGAAATTTCGTTTCAGCTTTGATCTGTTGGCGGTTGGTTTGGAAATCTGAATAGGATTTTGAGTTTTTTATTAGCATATTTCTTGGCGAGGGGGACAACAACGGTGGCGGCGAGGCCTTTGCTTTGATTGTCTAAATATTAACTTTAGTCCCTCTAATATGTTAAAGTTCGAAATTTAATCAGTGTCGTTTTTCTTAAAACTACTTTTATCTGATGCTCGATTAATCCAAATTCGATATTGTAAAATACTATTAGGAGAGTTGATCCTTTACATTTAAATTGTTTCATTCGTAAAATTAAAAATTTAAATAATTAATTTATTTAAATAATTTAACGTCTCATTTCATCAAACCAATTGATATTTCATGGAAGATACCTCAATAATTAAAGTGAATATTATTATCACTTAAGGTCTTGACTTGAGTAGTTACATCTGCATGTTAAGTACATTATTAACGATTAAGAAAGATTCTGAACAAATATCACCTCCGGCTAAAAAACAATCAACATTTTACCAAATGGAACATGCATGGGGATGGTAACGGGTTAGGTAGGTTTGGGTTTTCGATTAATAACTCGACCCAAAAATTTTGTATCCTCTACCTGAACCAGACCCGACTCGAAAATTATATATCCTCCACTTGACCCGACTCCATTCAAAAAATATATATATCATCCACTTGACTTCGACCCAACTCAAATTTTTAGAGTATAAATATGATTCGACTATATATAAAATAAGGAATTGATTAAAAGATATTTTTTAAAGAAATTTGCATTATTATCCCTAGGTCAGATTAAATTTTTTCACCTTTTACCTGAATTTGACCTAATCCGACTTGGATTGGGTTAGGTCGGAACCCGTCGGTTTCGGATTAAATGGTCATGCCTAGGGATGGCAACTCAACCCGAATCCGATGGGTTCCGACCCGACCCGACCCGATCGAGTCGGATTTTTTTTTTAAAAAAATCGGGGTCGGGTTTTTTTTAAATGTACTGTTCGGGTCGGGTTTAGGGTGAAAAAAATCCGACCCGACCCGACCCGAAAAATATATATAATTTTATCCTATATATTTAGGGATAATTACAATAATGTCCCTCCATATATAATTTTTTTCAATTAAGTTACTGTTTTCATTGAATAATTTTTTTTTATTATTATTTCGGGTCGGGTCGGGTCGGGTTTCTAAGTCATATATTCGGGTCGGGTCGGGTCGGGTGAAACCTTAATTTCGTCGGGTCGGGTCGGGTCACGGGTGAAAAACCCTTTCTTCTCGGGTCGGGTCGGGTGGCCCAAAAACCCGACCTGACCCGACCCATTGCCATCCCTAGTCATGCCTGCCTAGGTAGGCCTGGTTCAGGCCATTGGGTCCTAATTTCAAAGGCCCATTTTGAATGGGTCAACAATGCCCACAAAAAGAATTCAACTCTTCCAGAAAGGCTGTGAAAGGGAAACGGCATCTGGGAAAACAAAAGAGTCAAAGAATCACGCAAAAGAGAAATGGCTGATTTGTTTATAGGCGTCGTATCGCAGTCGTCTCTTCTTCATCTTCACCCAAAGATTGGACAATTTCAAAGGCAACAGCTCTTTAGCAACTCCGGCCACCCCAGATTTGCGGTGGTTAGCAATCGTCAGCTACACTTCAAAGTGTCGACTTTAGCTGGTGTGGTGTCTTCTGATTCAGAAGCACCCACGATCGTTGCCAACACCTTCGGTTCCGAAAAGGGAGGAATCGACATCGAAGTTGACACGGGAAACGGCGGAGGGGACAAGTTTGACGACAGGAGCGGAGGCGGCGGCGGTGGAGACGATAGTGGGAGTAAAGGAGAAGAGGAGTTCTCTGAAGACGGTGGGAAGAGAAAGATGGCTTTGTCTATGTCACAGAAATTGACTCTTGGCTATGCTGCTCTCGTCGGAGGTAAACTTCTTGATCCGGCTATTTTATTTGATTTTTGGGTTGATAATAAAATAAAATTGGGGATGATTTTAGATGGATATTGGAATTGCAAATGTGCAGATGTTTCATTTTGACTTGGGGGTTTTCATTTTTTTTTGTTAATGTGTGTGTATATATAGTGGGTGGTGCTATGGGCTATATGAGGAGTGGCAGCCAGAAATCGCTTGCGGCGGGAGGATTGTCGGCCGCCGTGCTCTATTATGTTTATACTCAGCTCCCCACAAATCCAGTGTTCGCCTCGTCCATTGGGCTTGGTAAGTTGCTATTTTCTTATGTTGTTGGCATTTTGGTGTTGTCATTATGTTGTTACAAATGATTAGTTTACATATCAAGTGATCAGATTAGTAGATGTGCATGCCATAAGATCGATTTTCTTGCTTTTGAGGGAAGGAAAGGCGTGAGGGAGGAAGAGGAAGGGAATGATGTTTGGTTTTATTGGAGAAGAAACAAATGAGTGATATGAAGTTCTCTTCTATGGAAGAGGTAGGGCTTGTCAGTTGTGTTGAACTTGCCATAAATGCTGAATTCCGGTTTGCCCTTTTGTTATTTTTAAGAGCGTCGCTCATGTGGGAAGGCGAGAGCACGAAAGAGGAAAGGTATGGTGCTCAGTTTTATTGGGTGAAGTCTAAAGTTCTTCACCATGGTGGTTTATGTTACCTCTCAAGTGATGAGGTTAGAAGAGATGGTGCCTGTCGATTAGTGTTGAACTTGCCATAAATGCCGAGTTCTGTTTTGCCCTTTTGTTATTCGTTAGATTGCTGATAAGTTTAATTTTTTTGCTTTGTGCTAAGGAAAGGTGAGAGAGGAAGAGGAAGAGTTTGTTGCTCGGTTTTATTGTTGTAAGAAAGAAAGAAAGAGGGATACCTCGATAGTTCTTCCCAACAATGATTTGTGTTTTTTTTTCACTTACTAAGGTATTACTTAACAGAGAGTACCAAACCCACCTTTAGATAGCATGCACTTGTGTTCTTTAGTATGAAACTTGAGAGAATTTTAACAGGTGCTTCTACTTGCTGACTTTGATAACCTTACTTGTAGGGAATAAGAGGTGAATCTTTTAAGTTCTTGTTCTAATGTTCATTTTAGATATGAGGCCATAAATAGGATTTATCTTTTCTCATTTATTATAGCTTCATCATGTTTATCCCCATTTTCATTAATGATATTTGGTTTGAAGGTATATCTGCTGCACTTTTGGGAGTGATGGGTTCCCGTTTCAAGCGGTCGGGAAAAGTCTTCCCTGCTGGTGTTGTATCACTTGTGTCACTTGTGATGACAGGGGGCTACCTACATGGCATCATGCGGAGTCTGCACTAGTGTGAAGCAGTAGTCTTGTTATTATAAAGCTATATATAATGCTTTGCTATGTCTCTTAACTTCTCAAGTTGTGAACTTCTTTTAGACCATCGCCATCGAGCAACGAGTTTCGACGCTCGGTTGCTTTTGTACTTGAATGCCTTTTCATCTTTGGTCATGTGATGCAGATTATGGTGGTGTTAGCCAATAAGAAACCTTGCATGTATTTTCAGTTTCGAAGTTTTGAGAATTTTGGAACATTATGCTTAATATAAAAAAGCATTGGTTGCAACCTTTATCAGTTACAAAATCACATACTTTTCATTCTCTATGCGGACATTCTTGTCTGAAACTTTCTCTGCCTTTAGGTTTTAGTTTGAATCAAAAGGCAATCTGATGAATCTGCCACATTATTTCCATAGCAAATGCTAACCTTAATCAAGTCCGAGTTTATTATCGACCGTCTGGAATCGGTCAGTCTGTACCATGAGGCCAAAGAATGACCATAACTCGGTTGCACCAGTATAACATATGCGTTTAAATGCCAACCTAGTTCAAACAATTCAATGATCTATGGATGCATAGGATGCTAATTGCGGAGAAATGTAATGCTAAATGTTCGAACACATCGCACACGGATTATCAATCTTCACATAACCAATATAACAGAGAAACCATACATGCATAGCATATCCTAGATAGCTAAGTTTGTTATATTAGAGTGTGTCCAGGTTTAGGAAACATCGAAGGTGCCCATGGAGGCACAGGGAAACTAAAGTGGATAGCCACACCCATCATAAGACCTGTTTAGTACTTGCCATCCGCATAACTCCAAAGGCAGATAAGATGCATTCCAGTGCACTTGGCATTTTACTGTAATAACTCGGCTAGGTTTTAGTTTTTATCATATATATATATAAGGAATCCTGTATGCTTAGCTTAGGCAACACGTGGAGCTTTTGATTGGAGCTCTTCTTGATGGACGGGTGACTTCCCAAAGCAGACTCTGGTGAAGTTGCAGCGCTGAGGTTGGCTTTGGCGTCATCACCCATTTTTGGCATCGATGGACTAGGATATGGGTTCTTGTTCACCAGCCTACAAAAGGGAACAGGGCTGGATTATTGTGCTCGGGGATGCAAGAGATAAAAGGGAAACATAACTGTAGTTCATATGGAAGGAGTACCTGTCCCGCCGCTTCTCAAGGAAACGCTGAAGGGAGTGTCTCCTTGCAAATGGTACTTCTGATCCGATTGATATCCACATAAAGTAATGCTATATTAGCTTACATGCAATACAAATGAAGCCAAGAGAAGTTTTAAGAGTTACCAACATGCAGTTTGCAACGAGAAGCCCTAGTACGAGGATACAACTGAGCCTGCGGCGATGCCAAGGTGGTGGCACCATCAGTTGTAGCGGTGGTAGCAATAAGCATAATCTCTTGCATCTGATAGAAATCTACCAAGGATAAGTTTTCGGATAAACCATCACTCTTGACAAAAGATGCTAGTAACATCTATGTTGTTAAGTAAAAGCCAACATTTTCCGCAGGAAATGCATCAAACACAAACTCTTCCGCTGTAGAAGATGGTGAGTTGGGACGGAGCACGATTTGGTGTATTTACTTCGTATTGCTCTTCTTTTTAAGTTGAGTCACTATGATTTCATGAACATCTTCCAGATTTTCATCAAAACAGAAACTATAAGATTTAGTGAAACTTATAGTTTTGATCCGTTTTAGTACAAAATTTAATTACAACGCCTCTTTCAAAGCCTCCAGCACACGACTGCAGAAAGCCCGGCTCCTTCCATTGCATTGATCGGAAATTTTCCCATACCACTGAGATTTGTTATCAGCCATTCATCCATCAGCATATTAAGGAAGACTGGGAGATCATCTCGAGAGATAAGCTACCTACAATCACCCAAGGCAAAGGAACATCGACGAAGAGCGTGGGACATATCCTCATCTTCGGACAAACATAGAGGATAACATGCCGATGTAGCAATGTGGTGTCGCTGCCTCTCTTCATTAGTTAGCAGTCTTCCATGAAGGGAAAGCCAAAGAAGCACACGAATCCTCTGAGGAACAGGGAGTAGCAACACTTTCCCCCAACTGATCGGTGAAACTGGCAACGTAGCAGGCAATAAAGCTTTGTATGCTGATTTAACACTAAATGAGTGGTTTACCTCCCATCTCCAACCCGGCAGGTCATCACCCAGTCCTAGCACCAGAGGACAAATCACAACAATTCTCGCACAAATAGCCCATGGAACGCATTCATTCAATTTCTCCCAGTCCCATGCACCAGACGGTGTAGTCATTGATTCCACCGGCATCGGATGCGGCTCTTCATTAAGTAAGCAATGATTCACCAAAGGCCCAGTTTCATCAAGCTACATGTCATGCCAAAAATCCGTTCTAGCCCCATTCCGAATATTCCAAAAACACGCTTTTATAGATCTCCTCCCACACATAGCTTAGACCCTTCCAAAGACGTGAGCATCGTTGTCGAGCAATGGTTAAAGGAACTTCCCCCCGTCTATCTATACTTAGCTTTTAGAACTTTAATCCTTAGTTTATCCTTTCTTTCGATAAGCTGCATGCCAATCTTCATGAGAAAGGCTTTATTTTGCCTTTCTAAATCCTTCAATCCCAAGCCTCCGGCATCAATTTAAGATCACATAAGGATCGTACAATGAAATATTAAAAAACCTAACCAAAACTCGAACTATGATAAATACAAACATATCTGATTGTACTAACAAAAAACCATAAAAAAGGATCAAACTATTAAAAGATTACTGACAAAACTGTAAATCAGAGTTGAACGACGTTAAAAAATTATCCACGAATGCATATTAAATATCCAAATTCTATCCGATATTCCAAAGTATGAAAGATTAGCTTGATAATAGATAATTGTCATTTTTATCTATCATGGTGATGTCGAATCAACCCTTAAAAAAGATGAACGAAAAACAATGACCAAATGATCGAAAACAAGCTAAAAGACGGGAAAATTTTACCATAAAGATAGATAAAAATATGTATAAAGGCATACTTATTAAAAATTTAAAAACAAGAGAAAAATAAAGATGTGATATAAAAAAGTAAAAGGGGTCGACAACCAACATCAAAGTTGGTGTCACCACCTATCAACAAAAATGAAAAGAACAAATATGAATGGCACACCAAAAATAAAAGAACCTTAAAAAGTATGATTTTTTTTATTAATTTGGAGAAGTACAAGATAATATATGTTCAAAGATAACTCTCAACTTCTTGACATTAAACTCTTACGCCCTGACATTCTCGGTGTTTAAACCTGAGTCGCAAGGAATAACAATAATTTATTTACCACAAAGATCACTTGATTCATGCAAAAAAAAAAAAACTATCTTAATTATACATTTAATTTATACTTATGATTGTAAACTATCATTGTAATTTTAGATTTTTTAACAAAACTAGTAGATTCTATTTGATTCAAAAAATATTTTAATTTTTTTATTAATTTAATCTTTATTTTTTGATATTATTTATTCTATTAATATAATCATTTGATTTGATAATATTATAAATAGATTAAGTCTATAAATTTTTAATTATAAATGATTAATTTTTTAGATTATTTTGAATTAAGATTGATTTGACAAAATATATATTTTTAGGGACTAAAATTATTATTATGATGTCATATTAGATAATTATTTTAATTTTAACAATGCAGTGAGATGTTTGTAATAATATCTTAATTAAATGTCTAAATTGTAACTTTTATAAAAACAATTGACCTATTTGTAACCAAATTGATAATGGAGTGACCTGAAATGTATTTTACCCACGTATATAATCATCGATTCAATTTCAACAACAATATCTTAATTAAATGCCTGTACAAGATACTGTCAAAGATTCTTTCAAGAAGATTAAGAATGTGCATCAATGACATAATCGGTTTCTTCCAATTTGCCTTCATTCCTAGCCGCCAAATCTTGGACTGTTCCTTTATTACTAATGAAGAAATAGACTATTGGAGAAAGAAAGGTCTTAAGGGAGTTGTGTTTAAGGTAGACTTTAGGAAGGCCTTTGACACAATGCACTGGCCAATTTTGCTTCAAATTATTGAAAAAATGGGCTTCGGGACGAGATGGCGTAGGTGGATTAACAGGTGTGTATCTTCGGCCTCAGTGTCGGTTTTGGTAAATGGTGTTCCTTCTGAAGAAATTTCGATGGCTAAGGGTCTAAGACAAGGCTGCTCTCTTTCCTATTTGCTTTTTAACCTGGTTGGGGAACTCCTCATTTTACAGCAAGTATAATATAGACAGCATAGGCTTGTTGTTCAATAATAGGATTCCAACAAGTATAATAGGAATGTGGTGAACAATCATTTCAAAAATGATGATTTTGGCTCAAGATATCATGTCTGCTTTCAAATTAAGGTGGGTAATGGTGAAAATATTTATTTTTGGCATGATGGTTGGAGTTCGAAAGCCCCTCTAAAATGCTTGTATCCTAGGCTCTTTATTCTCTCTACTAACCAAAATGGAAGATTTTCTAAGTTCTGAGAATTTGAAAATAGGGGCTGGATTTGGAACTGTGAAACGAGAAGAAAATTGAGTGACTGGGAATTGGATCAGTGGCTCGAGTTAATGTCCCATATTAATAAATGCAGTCTTGTGGAAAATGCGAGGGACTGTCTTTTATGGAGAGGAAGTGAAGATGAAATTTATATGGCCAAAACCTGCATTAAAACTTGCTTAAGCGATGATGCAACATATCAGTTTTAGAAAGTCTACATTTGGAAGGACTTGGTTCCACAAAGGTGGAGACATTCATGTGGCAGGTGGTTTATCAAAGGTTGGCTGTAAGAGCAAATCTTATTAGAAGAGGTGTCCAAGGGATTATGGACCCCCTATGCCCTATGTGTAACCAGGAAATGGAGACGTCCTCTCATTTATTCTTTTCTTGTAAAATTGCATAGAGGCTATGGAACAATTTTTTGCTTTTTTTTGGGAAAATTTCAGCAGCCCTGCCCGAAAATGTGTTAATTTCCTACAAGCCTGAGGGAATTTGGTTCCTCAATTGGCAATTTGGAGGTTTATTCCAGGGGTGGTTTTATGGACAATATGGAAAAGTATGAATGTGTTAGTATTCGATAAGGGGGTCTTATATGCAACTCAATTGTTCTTCACTTCAAGATTTAGATTGGCTGCTTGTTCCTTGTTAAATTTCCTAAAATTTCGATTTTAATGGACTCCCTTATAGGTACCCCTTCAGTTGGGGACTTGGATCTCCCCTTCTTAGGGTTTTTTCAAACTAAATGTGGATGCAACAGTTAAAGATGATTGGAGAGAAGGTGGCATAGGTGGTATCCTTAGAGACAATTCCAGTTTGATTTTAGGGACTTTCTCAGAACCGTTTGGTCCTGGACCTCTAGCTTTTCTAGAATTGATGGCTATTAGGACCGGTTTGGACTTCTTTGATGCTTCGAGTTGGAATTCTAAATGGCCCCTGATTATTGAAAGTGATAGTAAGATTTTTGTGGAATGGATAAAAAATCCGGATACATGTCCTGATAGGTATGCTATCATTTGCAAGGAATTAATGGAAAGAATCAGAAGCATGGAAGGAATTTTTCGATGGATTGCTAGGCCAACAAATTTGGAAGCAGATATGTTAGCAAAGGCTGAAATTGGATAGGGAGGAATTTTCTTTTAGGATTTGATCGATTTCCTTGGTGTAATAGTTTCTGAGTTGTCTGTTTCGACTATCTAATTGTACTAAACGTTTTGTAATTTTCCTTTATATCTTAATAAAATTTGAGGCACTCTTTTCCCCTTTCGCTTTCTACTGGAATACCTTTTGGTGTTCTAGTAATTATGAAGGAGGTTTTTGACAAGACCTCCATTTCCTATAAAAATAAATCAAGCTCTCCTAGTGGCTGATGCTTTTCCCTTAATCATCTACATTTGTTGGTTAAAATATTTTCAATTTTAAACCTGTAATTGTCAATGTTTTCTTATTCACACGGGAGCCTTGTGTGACACTCAGACGTACGATAATGTTATTGCAGATGATAAAATCAAAGGTTGGAAGCATAAAATCTGGATGGCAAAGTGTTTTCATGATTTTAACCAGAGTTTCAAATCGCGGTCGCGTTTTCGGTCATTTCGTCCTCTCCCCGGTGCTTTGAGTAACGTTGGACGTCGGTCTCCCAGGATACAACAACGAACGATCACAACAGTAAGCACATCCGTAGTGATTAGTCAAACACAATCTTGCATTTCTCTATCGCCGGAAAGAACGAATTTGGAAGGAACTTTCTAAGTATTATCATAATTCAACTTTGTGAATTGTGTCTCAAAGTTGTCTTTGTAAGTGTTGTGTTATGTCTTAGAATTGTGCCTCAAGTAGCCTATATATATAGAATGAGATGGATTGAAGGGTTAAGACCTTTCGACGAAAGTACTTAATCTTTCAATTAAAGGACTTATCCTTTTGAGAAAAAACGTTTAACCTTTTCATGAAAGGATTTAATCTTTTCATGAAGAGAATTGTTGAGTAGGTAAGATGATAGTCATAGTTTAAGGATAAAAATGAAACATTTAAAATTTTAGGGATCAATTTAAAACGAGAGTCATATGTTAAAACATGTGATGCAATTAACTCTAATTGTTCACTCTCTAATTTGAGTAACAAAACATTATGTAAGAAGATCTTCGTCATCGGCAGCTACTACTACTATACAATGTGATATGGACAACGTTGCTTCCGGTACTCAAAGCACGCTGTCTTCCAAAACTTTAGATTTCGAAGGCCGGCTGCTCCGATCATCACCCAATACGAAGAGATACCGGAACCTTGAATCAAAGGGTACGACAGTGAAGACTCGAGCACCGAGGAGCCTCCACTTATTGCGTGATAAACAGCTCCTAACCATGGAAGCTTGCCGCGGCGACAAGAATCGACAAATCCATTCGGGTAAAACCGAGTCTTCCACGACTCCTTTGGCGAAACAATGCAACAGTTTTGGCACCAATAGCTTCCCTTTGTTGCTTATGCCAACGGATGCCCGGATGTAATCTTCCATCGATTGTTTTAGCAACTCGTTCGTGTTTTCGGGACTGAAGATTCGAACCTGCAACAGGAAAGTCGGTTAACATTAGAACCTGATCTCGATCATATCGATTGGAAACTTCATTGTTGGTTTCGTTCCGATGAGTATACTAGAGGCAAATGATGAGGTCTTACAGCAGGTGAAGAATGCAACCCGCAACTCAAAGCGAAATGAAGCAGAGGCTCGGGGTGATCGATGGTATACTTCTGCAGCTCGACGGAAGCCTTGAATTTCTGAAGTGCGAAAACTGCAGCCTGAAAATGATTATGATCAGAAGTTAGATATGGCATAGAACACTGGTGTTTGAGGGTTTCTTTCTATTTTCGCATAATATTCCGTCGTACGGTGCATGTTTCAAGATTTGGACAAAGGTGGCTACATGGCATCACATGGTGCATGTAACCGTAGATAAATGATGTAATTATACGTACGATTTGTGGCCGATAAGTAGCCGGATTCATCTTTAGAACGGTGCATTCTATGTCAGCAGCACTCACCGAGAGTCCTCCAACCGTGTACGCAGCCTGCACATTATCACGGTATACTGTTAACATCGGTCCGGTGCAATATTATGCGGGAGGGGTTAAGGGTTAAAGTGGAAAAATTCCGGCATCGAACCTTCTGCATTAGGGAAAATAGTTTGATTTCATTTCTCGGAACTCCGTATGCCAAATATGCCTGCGAAACAGAGACGGAGACGGATAAAAATGCATGAGATGGTCATAAACTGAGGTCTTAGACCATGTCCGCGCTCCTAAACACGAGGAAGAAGAATGTATATGTAGTTTCTACATGCGTGAACGAGGACGACGAATGCATAGATCGGAAAGGTAGATTACATGCATAATCAACGCATTGTACAGGTTAATCCAAAATGCCAGTTTCTCGTTGTAACTCATTCGAGACGGATCCACCATGGACAACTGCTCAACAAGCAATCTGCAGGCAAAAAGAGCGGAAAGATGAAAGCGATAACCTTCAGGCAGACCGTAATTCGTGCAGTAATGGCAACTCTCTAGTCTAAACTCAATGCTTAGAAGCCAATGAAATGAGGATATAAAAGCTAGTCTAAAAACATGATACGAATGGTTAACCTGAATCTTTTTAGAGCCGTAGCGGCATATTCGAGTTCTTTCTTCCCGACAGACAACCTCGAGACTTCAACTGCCTTGCTGTAGGTCCCAATGTTACATCTCCAGTCGACTTTGTCGGTGACTTCATATGGATCAAATGCACCACCTCCCGGGAGACTGCTTACTAAGGAAGTTACAACGGGTGAGTCCAAGGAAGATGCCAAAAAATTGGCAAGGGGACAATGAGGTGAAGCGGGTGACACCGAAGAAGAAGAAGAAAGCTTGGATGAATCTGCTAAGAAAACGAAAATGTCTCTCATACGCCGGAACATTTCTTTGGCTAGCTGATTGGGATGATGCCAAAGGTTTTCCACAATATAATTGCTATCGATAAAAGCCTCCGGCAGAGGCATGTCGTCCGTGTTTTCTTCTGCTTCTTCTTCATTGCATACCCTTGCAATCTGAAACATATAGATTGTTAGTCGGCTTTCGTTCCTACAGCTGATGTATTATTCTGAATGCCTTAAGGAATAGATGACGGTACCGATTCGGTTACGTAACCCAGAGAGTTACTCAAACGTGATGTTGTGTGACACGGCAAATGCTTTGAATGGTACTCAGCAAGACGTCGCTCGTTCCTCTCCTGACTAAGTCGATATTGTAAAGAAACAAATTCCTCCTCAAGCTTTGATACAGTAATCTCCAGAGCAGCTACGCTATCTAAAAGCTCCCGGGCCTGAAATCCGGATTTAGGAGATTGAGAGATCATATAAATAGAAGAGAAATCGCACGCAGGGTGGCTGACCTTATCTGGAAGCTCGCCCGGAGAACTAGTAGAAGGTGAACCACAGTTTTCAACAGCACTTGCTAGAGCTAAGTGCAAATCGGTCTCTTCCTGCAACTGCTGCTGCAACCTTTTAACCTGCATGAGAATGAGATATAAACACTGATCGTTGCACATCCCTTTCAATTCCCTTGCCTAATACACTTCTCCGACTAGCACAAACCGAAGAAATCGGAAATGTCGAAAGGAAAATGTACTTCACAACAAATGACTGGAGTTTTTATGTACCAGAGAACCATGTTCATGTGGTAGTTAAGCTCTAGAAAACACTGATCGTTGCACATCCCTTTCAATTGCCTTACCTAATACACTTCTCCGACTAGCACAAAACGAAGAAATCCGAAATGTCGAAAGGAAAATGAACTTCACAACAAATGACTGGAGTTCCTATGTACCAAAGAACCATGTTCATGTGACGTTTAAGTTCGAATAACCCTAAACCCGACACGAACTTAGAACTTAACAGGCAATCTCCATAAACTGATCTCAACATTCACAAAACAAATATGCAGATAGGCAAATAGAAACACTCTTACTTCTTGCTCAAGCTGGTGTTTATAATCACACGCCTGCTGACTTGTCTCTTGTCCACTCCTTTCCTGGTGACAAAATGAGCCCAGAATCCGGATCTCAGTAAAAGTAATAAACAATTAGCATTCCGGAAAAATTACCTCCGACTCAGAACACGAGTTACATGACTCATCGCCAGCTGACAATGACTTGCTCCAGACCTTGCCACTTTTCCATTGCAGATATCTATTAATAGAACTTCCCCTGCAAAAACCATTACAACACTGCATTCACCGTAACTAAAAACACAAGACAAGAACACATAAGCATCAAATGAAGAAGAAGGGACCCACCAGTTGATTGGTAGAACAGAGCCCCCGTTATTGCCATTGATACTATCAGCATTAGGACTTTGAGGATGATGATGATCATCATCCAAAGCTTCAGGCTTTAAACAAAGCATCATAACAAACTCTAATGAACACCCCCCCCACACAAAGATGCAATTTTTCTTCTTCTTTTTCAGTTGATTTTCACGATCAAGTCTTATTGGACTGTCGACACAATAAATCCACCAACTAAAGACTACCCTTTCAAGACAAAAACAAAAATTAGCAAAGAAGTTATTGCTTTTCTTCAACCGAGCAAAGGAACAAAAGAAACACAGGGAGAGTGGGGTATATAGGGCCCTTATAAGGGGATGGATTTGGGGCGTAATATTATTGCTTATAATTATAATAATGGTAATACTGAGTCACTGAGTTGGGGACGAATTAGTACTGAGCCCGGTGCATCAGTTAAGGCAAATGTGGATCTCATCATATGACACTCTGTCCTTCACTCTTCATTCACCGACAACATCCACATGCTCCCTACGAATTATAATAATTTTTGAAAAATGTATTTGAGAAAATAGAATTATAAAACCATTTTTTAATTTAAGAATATGATTCTAAAAGTTTACATTTAAAATCAAAGTAAAAAATTGAATATGAGAGTTGGCTGTACTTGGAGAAGATTAAAGCACATTACAAAGTTCAAAATTAGTACATTTTCAATTATGGCATGGTGTCGGTTCTCGAAAATTATAGATGCAAATTTAATTTTAATTTATGATCCTTAAACTCAAGAGTAGAGTACACAAACGGTGTCTCAAGTATTAAAAGTTATAAAATGGTCCTCTGATTATAGAATGTTGCTTTATTAACTCACTTGATTGTTAAGAGTATTAAATGATCACCCGACTATTCATTATGTTCAGAAGTCGTCCTTTTCCACTGAAAATTTGGCGGTCGCCTGAGCTGAACGTTGGCATGATGACTGAGATATGATAGTCGTTTGAGATTCCGGGATTAGATTTTACCTTATCACGACCATCAAGCTAACGTTCAACTCGAAATACCGTAGAATTTTTTTATTGAAAAATGACGAATTTAGAATATAATGAATAGTCGGTGATCGATTTGTAACTTTTAAGAGTCAAAGGACTCAACAAAGTAACACTCTATAAAGTTGGAGGATCATTTTGTAACCCTTGATATTCTAGGGACTTAATAAAGCATTACCTTATAGTCGAGGGACCATTTGTGTAATTTACCCTAAATTCAAATATGAGTGCATAATTAATTATTCAAGTAGTTTTGTGTACATTTATTATTCAAGTAAATTTTTATTATTCAAATATGAGTGCATAATTTATTATTCAAGTAAATAGGGACTTAATAGGATCATTTTCGCCATATTCTTTTTTTAAAAGCATTTTGACATTCAACATTTTATTTTCGGGTAAAAAAACTCTAACATTTGATAGAATAATTATTTTGAATCTTATTCTTTTTTGGAGCATTCTGACCCTCAGTATTTTATTTTAGAGTAAAAGGCTCCTATTTCATAGTGTTATTCGTGTGTTAACTAACGATTTCTATCCGTAGAGGGATATTTTTACCCCAAAATAAAAGGTTGAGACCAAAATGTCCCCAAAGAAAAGAATATATACCAAAATGACCATTTTAATAAAAGTTGTGAGCTAATTTTGATATTATGCCCTTTAGAGTTTATATACATTTTTAATTATAATCTGATATAATTTATATCATTTTTAATTATAATTTTATCTTATATTTATAAATTCAAAAATATATAAACATCATAAAACCCAACCTCAAATTATCTTATTACTTCAGCCCACTAAAATCCAAACTTCTAAGTGGCCTTCACAATTAATGTGAACTCAATTGGGCTTCCTTTCTCCCAACATAGTTTTATAGGTTAGGCCTATCAAAAGAAAAGGCCATTGGCCCATTCTCATCATTCACATAAAGTAGAATATTGAAGTCCCTCGTGTATAATCGAATAGATTCGTGCACGAACCAAATTAATTTAGTGGCTAAAAGAATCATCGATTGTACCAAAAAAAATCACCATAACAGGAAATAATTACCTATCAGACACTCTTTTTATCTAAATTTTATCGATTTAGCACCCTTTCTGACAAGGCGCAGATCATCATCCGCGCCTTCGCAGGGTTTTGTCCGAGCTGACACCACGTAAGGGAAGGCACGGATCGTCATCCACGCCTTAACTGAATCTCTGACATATTCTGACAAGGCGCAGAGCGTCATCTACGCCTTAGCATTTTAAAAAAAATATGCTTTAAAAAAATTTTAAAAAAAACTATAGGGGCTAACATCATAATTTAATACATATTAGTTCCACAAGTTGAAGAGTTTAATGGGGTTAGCTTATATAGACATATTAGAGTGTTTATGTTATGTTTATTGACAATGTGAGATAAAAGCTAAAAGGTGTATTTCTTGACAATATGTTTAGGTAAGGTTTCCATGAGTTGCTTTCGATCGTTTTCATTACATTTTTATTTCAATTATATACATTTAAATATAATAAGAAATTGATAAATTATCATTTGTTCGATTTTTAAGTTACCTTAAATCAACCCAAAAAATAAAAGTGAACAAATAATTGAAATTCTGTAAATTTTACTGGGAAGAAGTGAATGAGGAATTATGTAAGACGCTGTTGTATTTTTTGATGCTACATCCATTGATTAAGTCCTTCATTGTAGCTTTAATTCCGAACAAGAGTGACACTTCTTTTAAATTATGATGTTAGTCCCTATAGTTTTATTTTAAATGCTAAGGCGCAGATGACGATCCACGCATGTCATTACGTGGCGCTAGCTCGGATAAGGCGCGGATGACCATCCACGCCTTTCATGACATGGTGTCAGCTTGGACGAAACCCCGGAAAGGAGTGGATGACGATCCACGTCTTGTCAGAAAGGGTGTCTGACAGGTAATTATTTCCTGTCAGGGTGATTTTTTTTGATAAAATCGCCAAAAGAATGATTGTTATTCTTATATTTCGGGTTCGAGCACTAGCGACTGGAACAAACGTGATTGAGCTTTCATTTTCAAATGACTGAAAAGTATTTAGAACATACACTACTTTGTAATCGCCTTAGCTTAGTCAGAAAAATAATAATCAAATATATTTGTACCTTACCAACAACCAACGGTTATAGTGGGATGAGTCACTAAATCCCTTAAACAAAGTCAAGAATTTGAATCCTAACATTTGTGAATGGAGTAAATTGGGTTTGGAGGATCGTCATCGCCTCTGTAGTACACGATCCAAGTTATTCAACAAATAACAATTTTAATCGGACGAAGGGAGTATTTTTTAATAAATTTATCAACTTTACTTTTCATCAAAATCGAAAATTAATAAACTAAAAATAAAAAATAGAGATAAAAGAGCCTTATCCTTTATATAATTTAACTTATTTTAAAATTCAGTGGCGGATCTAGAAAATTTTTCGAGGGTAGACACACATATATTAATAATATAAATATTTTGATACGATCAAATTTAAGAGTGCACACCATAAAATTTCAAGGTGGAGCATACATGTATTAATGAAGAAAACTTCGAATTTTAAAGGAAAAAAAATTAAATTTTAAGAAATTTCATGATAGGTATGTGCCAACTTTATTATCAACGTATGTCCACCACTACTAAAAGTGATTAATAAATTATCACTTTTTCATTAAAAAAGTGGATTACTTATGGTCTCTCAACCCAAATTAGCATCACCTAGACATACAAACGTACGTGCGCGCGTACACACACATATATATATATATATATATACTAAATAATTTAAAGAATTACTCGTAAACTTCAAAAAAGAAAAAGAAAAAAGAATTATTTGTATAATTTCAGAGAAAGCACACTTATGTGAACGATGAATGAAGGAAAGACAACTTAATATAAATTTAAGGAAAGTCGTTACTGAAAATGTTAATATATTTTAATATTTTTGGTAGAATGCTACCTAAAATGTTATTTTCTATACCAAAAATGTTAATATCAAAAATATTTATTTTTAAAATATTTTTGACAGCGAAACTAAAATTTTCGATATAAAAAATAACATTTTAAATAATTTTTTATCAAAAATATTAAAAAATATTAATATTTTCGATAACATATTTTCTTAATTTACATTATGCCTGTGTACATCATATCTACCCCTGTGGACATCCTTTTTCAAAAGCGAAAATGATGGCGTCCATTAATTATTTTGTAATTAAATTTTAAATAAATAAAATTTTATTTTCAAGCAATAAAATGCTTCACTTACTTGCCACCTGTCTCCTCTTCAATTGGATACATATAAGAAATCTATTTTCAAGCAATAAATTTATAACTGTTTATTCCAATAATTTCATCTTTAAATTTTAATTTTAAATTTTATTAATCGTTAATATATAACTTTTATATTTATTATTATGGATAACATCTTGTGGTTCACTTGTACTATAAGAAATTTTACATTATCAATAAAGTATATCAGATGTCATTGAAATATATTTAAATGATCATTTTAGTCACTGAATTTTTAAAATTTATAAAATGACCATTAAATTTATCAAACTATTATAACATAGTTATTAAATTTTATCGAATTGTTACAAAACTGTCATTGAATTGATCAAAATTTTACATTTATTATTAAATCAAAATGATCATTTATAATAATTTGATAGATTTAATGATCATTTTATAACTTCTGAAAATTCAATGACCAAATAATCATTTGAGCATGATTTAGTGACTCTAAATTTATTTTTAATTTATGTGTCAAAATACACTAAAGTATATAAAGTTTATCAAATAATTCCTTAAACTATTATATATAACCACTTTAAATACCTTAACTATTTTTGGTCAAAATATGTCCTTAAATTATACCCTTTTTTTGCTTTAAGCCCCTAAAATATTTTTTTGTCAAAACAAGAATACAATTTTATGTGACATGTCAACATCTTATTGATTAAAAAATAGTTAAATATAATAATTTAAATACCTAGTTTGATCAAAAAATTAATTTGAGTACCTAAAAAAACATAGTTTAGATACATATGTTTACTTTAAACCATATTTTATCCATAGTTCTAAGCTAATCAAAAGCACGTGATACGACAAGGGCAGATAGGGCACGTAGGCATGCACTTTACACATGTTTAGAAGCTGATAAGTGTCTGGTCCGACGCTTTTCCAAATCCCCAAAATGTCCCCACACATCAATAGGACTAAATGGCCAAAACTTGTATGGTTGCTTTTAGCTACACCATCCATATGGTGGCTCACTTGTCCCTTGTCCAACACATGTGCCCATGTCTCCACCAAGAAACATAAATTTTACGTTTTTTATATTTATTATCAGGGGTCTAATTTTACAATACTTTTTTTTATAAATTTCATAAACGGACCTAATAAAAGGATGTTTATTTTATAACGTCGATCGTTTGTTAAATAACGATTTTTATTTACGAAAAGGTCTTTTTATCTAAAAATTAATGTGACTATTTAATCAAATGTTATATATATTTTTGTTATTATATATATATATATCTTTTAAAGGAATATTTCTGGACCGGTCGCCATCGGAATTTATTATTTTGCTTCGCCTCTGGCCACCAACAAGGCGGATAACAGCCTTATCCGGCTGTGGGAACGGCGGAAGACAGTTTAATGTAGACTGCAAGTGAGGCATTTACACGTGGAAGAGGTCTCATGATTTCCAATTAAAATGTGGGTCTAATGATGTGATTATTACATGGTAGATGGCACATACGCATATTTGAGGCCCATATTTAACTTAACCTATGGTTGAGGTCTACTTCCCCTTTAAACTAAGGTTGAGGTTTTTAAAATTTTTAGGGTCAACTATGCATTTAGCACCTATACTATCGCTTGACAAATGACATATTTTCTCATCTAGGTCTTTATCTTTTGTACGTTTTATAGTTGATTCACTCTCTTTACTCCTTCAAAGTCCTACCACTAGGGGTGTTAAAACCCGGGTATTCGAAATACCGGTTACCCAAAATTTTTTGGTGTCAAAATTTTGGCTCGTGTCCCATCCCATTACATCCGGATACCTTTATTTTCGGGTCACAAGTACTCGATTTATAATTTTTTTAGAATTATATTATTTTTAAAAAATATATATAGAAAATTCTAAAATTTAAAATTTAAAGGTCTATAATATATAATTCACACATAAAGTTTAAAAAATCAAATTACATAATTGAAAAAAGTTATTAAAAATTAAAACAAAAATTATAATTAAATTTCAAATGTTTCAAAGTTAAAATAAATATTTTAAAAAATAATTTAGAATGTTAATGTGAAATAATTTAAGAAATTAAGAATTTAGAATGTTATGGTGGCAAAATTTAAGAAATTAAGAATTTAGAATGTTAGAGTGAAATAATTTGAGAATTATAAATAAAAATTTAATAAAAAATAATAATATATATATATATATATATAAAATAAACTAGGTACCCGGTTAAACAACATTTTATTATATTAAATTGAAATTAGGACCTAAATAAAAATTAAGAATTAAAGTTAGTCTTGGTGATCAAATTGATTAACTCTAAAATCTAGGGGATTTAATATATAAATTTAATACATGACTAGAATAAAAGATTTTAAAGTTAATACTCAAATTAAGGCATTAGACAAATTAAAAACAAAATCACGATTGATTGGATTAAATGAAAATCCAAAGAAACATATCATATACAAGTAGTGACAAAAATGGAAGAAAACAAAGCAGGGTGCCAACGCCGTAAATACATAACTTTACAGGGACTCCCGCCCTAATTATACCAATTTATTTTTACTGCCACGTAAATACCTCCGTTAAATGTTAACGTCGTGTGGTCATTTTGAACCCGTTTAAATAGTTTAGTGGTATATTTGTCATAATTTTGAAAATGGTGGTCATTTCGCGACCTAATTCATAGTTCCATGGTCATTTATGTAGTTTGCCCTAATATTTACACAAAATAAAACCTAAAAAAATTAAAGCATTTGACCATATTTATCATTATTACATACAAAATGCAAGTCAAGGCACACCGATCCCACACCTAGTCACATATACCTACGTACGTACATATATACATAATACATACGTACATATATACATGTATAGGATGTTTTTCTCTTGTCATGTTAGTCATGTCAATAATAATTATGTCATGCTTCTTTAAAATAAAATTATAAAAAGGGATAAAGTATACAAATTGGTCCCATGACTATAGGATATTACTTTGTTAAGTTCATTGACTATTAAAAGTTACAAAATGATCATTTGACTGTAGAATGTTGCTTTATTGAGTTCCTTGACTATTAAAAGTTACAAATTGGTCACCCGACTATTCATTATATTCCAAACTCATCTTTTTTCATAAAAAAATGACGATTATCTAAGCTGGACGTTAACATAGTGACTGAATTATGATAGTTGTTTGAGATTCTGGGATTAAATTTTATCATATCACAGTTAGCAAATCAACATTTAACTCAGAATACTGTTATTTTTAACAGAAAAGGACGGGTTTAGAACGTAATGAATAGTCAGGTGATCATTTTGTAACTTTTAATAGTCAGGGGATTCAACAAAGCAACACTCTATAGTTAGATGACCATTTTGTAACTCTAATAGTAGAGGGACTTAATAAAATAATATCTTATAGTTGGGGGACCATATATGTACTTTACCCAATAAAAAAGTGAAAAAATTTACAAATTAGCCAGAGAAATGGACATGGAACTTAGCACCACTGCACTCTCAAGTACAGTTTTCAAAGAGAAATGGACATTTAAACAAACCAAACCATTGTATGCCACAAATCATGTACGTCCAAAACGAACCTTCCATCCCTATAAGTATCCGAACCCCCATGACCATCCCACAACCCACACACAACATTTCACAAACCCTAATCACTTGTCTAAATCCAAACCTGACTTGGTCCGATCATGTTCGAATTATTCACCATGTTCTGGTTGTTGGGTTGTGCCCGAGCGGCCACCCACGGCTCTTTCGCCGCCGTGAGCGGCGGTTACCACAAACATGTCCATGAACAATGCAGGTTCACCAGATACTCCAGCCTCTGTGCCGACACGATGGCGGGGTTCGTGTCCGGAAACCAACAGGTCGACGTCGTCTCAGCTCTTATAAACAAAACCATATTGGAAACCAATCTCCCGACCTCCTACTTCACACAATTAAGCTCCAACCTCGACATCTCAGAAGCTCAACATGTCAATTCCATCACAGGTTTGCCGACAATATTAAAACACTTTTTGACAACATTATTTCGATAATTATTTGATACGTTGATAATAGAGTTTTTTAACACCACAAATAAATTAAATTCATCGTCACGTGTCTTATATTTATATAAATATTAATTAAAAATATACGACAGTAGACTAAGACTGATTGTGAAGCTAAAAAAACTTCACCATTGATGCATCAAATATATATATATATATATGTTTATTATTTGAAACATTGAAGATAAACAATGAAGGATTCTAAAATATTTTGAGGTGCGTACACGTGTATTAATAACATAAAATTTTTGTATGGAGTGAATACAATCAATAAAATATTAATACAAAAAATTCGGATTTTATGGTGTACTGTCCACCCTAAACTAAGGGAGGATCCACCACTTATAATAAAACTCTTACTTCACAAATAGTATTAAGGGTAAATTATGCAATTAGTATATAAACTATTAGTTTTGGTCATTTTTAATATCTAAACTTTTAATTTTTTTCAAAAACATACCTAATGTTTGGTTTTTATTTCATTTTTGTACCTAAACTATCAATTTTGGTCCGTTTTAGTACCTAAACTTTTAATTTTTTTAAAAAAAACATTGAATTTTGAACATGGGTACTAAAATGAAACAAAAACTAAACTTTAAGTATTGTTTTAAAAAAATTGAAAGTTTAGGTACAAAAATAGACTAAAATTGATAGTTTAGGTACTAAATGCATATTTTACCCTAGTATTAATTCACCTTTATGTGCCTTGTAAAGATTAAATAATAGCTCCTATATATATGAGGATTAATTTAGAATAAGAGTTATAGTTTATGTATAAAATCGAAATATTTAGAAGTTTGAGATCAATGAGGGTCCTAGGTTGGGGATTGGTGATGTAATTAACTCGGATTAAAATATAGATCCGAGTAAACCAAAGTGACTAAAACCACAATTTGACATAAATAGTTTTATTGTAGCTAAAAGGCACAATTTTTTACATGCAGGGTACTGTCAAGAGCTGTTGAGCATGTCCCTGAAACGGCTCGACCAGTCTTTATTAGCTCTCCAGAATTCTCGGAACCAAAACAAACACAATATTCAGACATGGATGAGCGCTGCCCTTACTTACCAACAAGCCTGTAAGGATTCCGCCGACACTCATACTTTGCTGTCCAATAGGGACCTAATGGGACAAATAGCCCGAAAAATGGACTACCTGTCTCAGTTGGGCAGCAACACATTAGCCCTTGTCAATAGGATGTCCGGCACGTCGACCGTGTCTCGCCAGCTGAGCGAGAGGGCCCGCGATTTCCCCAATTGGTTGTCGGCGAAAGACCGGAGACTACTTCAGGCACCGGAGGTGAAAGCCAATGTTGTAGTGGCGAAAGACGGGACGGGGAACTATAAGACGGTCTCGGAAGCTATCGCTGCGGCTTCTGGGGGACGGTTTGTGATCTACGTGAAAGCCGGAGTTTATAACGAGAAAATCCAGACTAATAAAGACGGTATTACGTTGATCGGAGATGGGAAGTACAGAACTATCATCGTCGGTGGTGGTAGTGTCAATGGTGGCTCTAGCATGCCCGGGTCCGCCACATTTAGTGAGTATTTTTTATATCTTTATTAAAGGTCAAATTCTGTATTTGGTCCATATATTATGTCCTTTTTTAAGATTTAGTCCTATTATGATTTGATTATTTCTAATTCTCTGCTTTTTAAATTTTGTATTTTCAGTCCTAAATACAAATTATCCGATGAAAAAAGTAGGATTCGAGACTGAAAAAACAAATTTCGGAAAGTAGAGGGATTAAATTCACCAAAAGTATATTGTACAGGGACCTTCTAAATAATTTGATCTTTTTATGATACTGAAGTGGTCCTTAATAAATGGCCTAACATATAATTTGTATCATTAATTATCAAGATCTTAGAAGATCAAGAGCGGGGTAAAGGGTCCTTCATGTACTGGCCTGTTCTAACTTCTCGTTCGATTTTTCAGCTGTTACCGGCGACGGATTTATGGCTCGGGATATCGGATTTCAAAACACGGCCGGTCCCCAAGGAGAACAAGCCTTGGCTCTTCATGTTGCTTCCGATCATTCGGTTTTCTATAGGTGCAGCATTGCAGGGTACCAGGACACATTATACGCTCTTTCCTTGCGTCAGTTCTATAGGGAATGCGACATTTACGGCACGATCGATTTCATATTCGGAAATGCCGCCGCCGTTTTCCAGAGCTGCACGTTGTCTCTTCGCCGTCCTCGCAGCGGCAGCTACAACGTGATACTAGCGAACGGGAGGTCGGATCCCGGACAAAACACCGGCTTCGTGATTCAAAATTGCCGGATCGTGCCGAGTTCGGATTTTTCTCCCCTTAAGCATAGCTTCAACTCGTACCTAGGAAGGCCCTGGAAACAATATTCGAGAGCAATCGTGATGGAATCGACAATAGACGACGCCATCGCTTCCGCAGGTTGGGTCGAGTGGCCCGGACAAAGTGCTTACTCGAAATCGTTGTACTTTGCCGAGTATGCGAATGCAGGACCCGGAGCAGGAACTTCCGGAAGGGTAACGTGGCCGGGATTCCACGTTTTAGGACGCGTTGAAGCCGCGAAATTCACGGTCAGTCAATTTATCGCCGGAAATGCGTGGCTGCCGTCAACCGGAGTAACTTTCACCTCAGGCCTCCAGTAAACTTGATTGAAAAGCATAAGTGTGGTCAGAAATGGATTAATCAAAATCCAGTATATAAAATAAATCATCAGCAAATTTAGGACATAAATGTTTTATTTTACCAAATATTTAGTTTCTGTAAGTTTAATTATATGATTATGAAGATAATATTCAATTTTAAAAATAAAACTTTTTTGGTGAATTGCTTTTTAGCCCTCCAATAATTTTAAAAATAATAAATTGAATACCTGGTCCCCTTAATTTTTATGGGTCAATTGCTCTTTAGACCCTCTCAATTTTGAAACCAATAAAATTAAGTCTTAATCCTCAACTTTTTAGATTCAATTATTCTTTAAGTCCTTATTCAACTTACTTTCTATCTCTTTTTTTTTTCTTTTAAATTTTCAATTACTCTTCAAGTCCTTATTCAATTGCTCTTTTTTTCTTTAAGTCCTCAACTTTTAATCTCACTATTATTGTTGTGATTGGATCCAATTACATCATTACAATAATTAATCTTAACACCACAACTACTTTTAATTTCATCAAAATCTAACTCATTGTCTATTCGAATTAGGAGTGAGTATTCCATTGAGTTGAGTGGAGTAAAAAAAATTTGAGTTAGTCAAGTTTACGAGTCTTATTTTATGACTCAAACTTTATTTGATTTTTTTTTTCGAGTCGGATCGAGTTTATGAGATTTGAGTCGAGTTGTTTGAGTTTCTCTTTAAATTTAATTGTAACTTGTCAGAATATTATGGTACATAGACTCCATTCAATTTAAACGACTTTCTCTAATAATAGGGGTAATATGCTCTTACACAATGTAAAACTCTTTTAGTTTTACACAGAATTGTGACCTTTGGATGAGTGAAAAGAGATGGCTGAGATTAAAAGTAAGAAATGTAAAGATATTTACTGGGAAAAAAATAAGAGGATTCAATCTCAACCATTTATTTTCACTCACCCAACGGTCCTAAATATGTGTAAAACTAAAGAGTTTTACATTGTGTAAGTGGATCCTAACCTATCATACATACATACATATTGTTATTCCAATGTTTAAATAAGATTTATAATGTTATTTAATAAATCAAATAATATCTAAAATTATAAAATATATTTATAATATTTTTCTTAAATAAAGGAATTGGTAGGAAGTAAAAATGTAAAAAAAAAATCAACCAAAAGATCAAATTGAATAAAACGGGACTAAATTGAAAAATAATAAATTTGTTGTTAATAATAGGAATTGAACTTAAATAGATATTCTGTAGTGTTAGTGGAGCATGTAATTTAAATTTGGTAAAAAGTAGACTTAAAAGGAATAATTAAAAAATAAAAAATTGTATAAAGTTGAGAACTAAATTATAAAAAAAATAACTTTTAGAAAGAGGCATTGAAGCTACATAGATATTCTACAATAGTTTAGGAGTGGTACAAATTTGGTCAAATGTGGGTTTAAAATGAAAAAAAGTTATCGAAGAAATTATGAAATCGTGGATTAAATTATAAAATAGTCAAATTTAGTTTTTCGAATTGATAAAATTCGAACTCGAAATAAAAAGTTGAAATTTCAGTTGGTTTGAATAACTTAACTCAAGGAACTCGAAACAAAAAGTTCATTATTTTAGATCGAATCAAATTTTTTGTTCACTCTATCGAATGGGCTCAAAAGTTTTGATATAAAGTGCTAATTTTGAAAATGCTTATATCATAAATAAGTACCTAAAGGATACTCTCTTTTTCATTTAAGTACTTAAAGCATTTTTTTGGTCAAAATAAATACCTAAAGTTATTTTTTAGTCAAAATGGGTACCTAAAGTATTTTATATCAAAATAGGTACATAAACTATTTAAACTTTTTCATATAAGTTCTAAAAAAGTTGACATGTTACATTAATTAAAGAATACTTTAGGTATTCATATGAAAAAATTAAATATAAGTATCTATTTTGTCCAAAAAATAACTTTAAGTATTTATTTTAATAAAAAATTACTTTAAATATTTAAATGAAAAAGATAATATACTAAGGAATCCCACGTCTACGTACGTCTACGTGGGTTTGATGTTAATTATTGAATGTCTGAATGAAGTGAATGGCTTTCCCCTTTTCTTTTTGCACTTTTTGCACTTTTTGAAGCACATTTTTCTCTCGATGTGGGACATGCATGCATGCAATATGATGGCAGCTTGTAAGCACATATCAGCCTCTTATTAATCTTCCACTTATATGCCCACACATTTTACTTGCCTTTCAATTTCACCCATCTTTTCATGTACCAAATTGGATGGTTAGGGAAAAAACAGTACTTATTTGACAGGCCAAGTTGTTTTAACCGGATGAAAATAGAATCAAGTGTTAAGAAAAATAAATGATCTAAATTTAACATAATAGAACCCTTAATAGAAAAAATATTATTATAATTATATCTAAATATATAAGGAATAATTAACCTTTTAGCATAGGCCAAGTTAGTAATAACGGGTTCAATAATATTTTTGGAGTTGACATACATATATTAATAACACAATTTTTTTTGTACGATATGAGTAGGGATGGGCACGAGACTCAAACCTGATAGGTTCCGACCTGATCGGGTCAATTTTTTTTAAAAAAATACGGATGGATCGAATCGGGTTTTTTGAAAATATGTTCGGGTCGGGTTAAATTCTAGTTTAGGGTAAAAAAATACCTTACCTTACCCGATCCGAAAAATTACCTTATATATTTAGGGATAATTACGATAATGACTCTCTATATATGATTTTTTTCAATTAGATCCATATTTTTATTGAATAAAAATAATATATTTTATAAATATATTTATTTTGGGTCGGGTTCGGATTTTATCTCAAAAAAATGGGATCGGATGAAGTCACTTCTAAACTTGGGTCGAATCGGAAATCAAGTGGATAGTTTATATTTTTGGGTCGAGTTGGGTTGACCGAAAATCCGACCCGACCTATGCTCATCCCTATATATGAGCACAAATAAGATTTCGAGATAAAAATAATCAGTAAAATAAGTAAATAAGAAGAAAAATCAAATTTCATTGCAGATACGTGCCCACCCTAAACTTGTGGATCTACCATTGCAAGTCTAGGTTTATTTACTCTAAAACCTAAACTCGATCTAATCTGACCTTTATCTCATAAAAAACTAACTAACCCTATATTTTTTTAGAAAATCAATCCCATAAAATCGAGTCGAATCAAAACTGGTCGAATGCTGACAAGTTGCAAGGTATCCTTCGCCACGCAAATCATTTCCAACAATTAGCAAACAAATTTCAATGAAAAAGAGACTTGAATAAAGTGCTTCAACCACAACTTTAAGATCAATACGGTATAATTAATGATAAAGAAGACCACCTTGAAGGCAGATAATTAGTTGTAAAGTGACTCTTTAACTATAATTTGACAACTAAATATATGCAATCCACACCACAAATTTTTTTTTTTATAAAAAATAAATGAAAGAAAAGTAAGCATAGACCAAAGAAGAAGATATAGTACAAACCTCAACATTTCTTTAATAATATTTTTTGGGTAAATTATGTGTTTTGTACCTAAATGATCAGTTTTATCATGTTTTAGTGCCTAAACTTTCATTTTTTTCAAAATCATACCTAACGTTTAGTTTTTGTTTCATTTTAATACCCTGCCGTTAAAAACACAACGCATTTAGTACCTAAACTATCAGTTTTGGTCAGTTTTAGTACCTAAACTTTCAAGGGTTTTCAAAACTTAATGTTAAGTTTTTAACAATGTACTAAAATGAAACAAAAACTAATAGTTTTGAAAATATTAAAATTTTAGGTACTAAAATGGACCAAAACTAATAGTTTATATACTAAACGCATATTTTACCCTATTTTTGGCTTTGGTGGGTGGGAATCTTTAAATTGTTAAAAAACAATTAAATTCATGAAATTTTTTACCCTTAATTAAGTTTGTGTTTTAAATTTCATTAATTCACTCCTTTAATTAATATTGATCATTAAATATAATATTTTTTGAATTAGTTGATATTATATGTCACGTCATATGTAATGCCCCAAATCTCAGGTTAGTAGTTTGGGTTGACCCAAGACCCGTTATTAGGGCTCAAAGGATTTGTTAAGATAGTTACACCTAAATTAAGTTAGATTTGGGCATGATTGGGCCCAAGTGTTAAGGGTTTGAGATAAGTTTATTAAGAATTAAAAGAACGAAGACCTAAAGTGTAATTTACCCTTTTTTAAATCAAAAGTTAAAACCCCCTAATTTTCTAAGATATTAACGTGAACTACTCTCTTATCTTCTCCACCAAACACTCTTCTTCACCTCTCCATTTTCTCTCTTCATTTTCCTTTCCTCCAAGTATGGTTTAAAGGATTTCATTATCTCATTGGGATAGCTAAGACAAGAAAACTAGTTTCCCATTTCGAGAGCTTCATTTTGAGCCCCATATGTTAAGTTTTATGCTTTAAACTAAAATGGGTTTTATTTGGGGTTTATGAAAAATAAGGATTTCTATTTGTGTTGGGGTAGGGTGAACTTTAAGAAATGTTTCTATACTCACAATGATCTCACAAATAAGCTAGTAACATTATTTTCTTATGCATTAGTGAAAGAAGTTGAAGAGGGGTTAAGGCAAGATGTAAAGAGAAGTTGACCCTTAGGTGAAACTGGAGAAGTTTTCTTCAGTTAAGCCATCAAGGTAACACCCTTATAACTTTCTTATGACAATTATAAGCCTTACCATGCATTATTGTAGCTTACATTAGCTTTGAAGGATTTAAGAGCATTTTCATGGTAGATTTTAAGTTTATGTGTTTTTAAGCTATATGATGTCTCTTTATGACTCTAATAAGTTTAAATAAGATACTAATAATGTTTGAGGACCTCCTTAGGGTCTTAGAAATGGTTAGGAAGGTTTGAAAATACCAAAATAAGACATTTTCAGGTGTCAATATCGATATTGGATGAATGAGTATCGATATTGTTCATAAGAAAGGAAAAAATATGAAGAGTT